TACAATATGCAGTCTATATTTGCTGATTGGCGTGTTATGTTATTTTGCTGGTTTTCAGGAGTGTCAGTGTTTTTGTTTATTTGATCATGGTCATTTATTAACTAATCAATTTACACCTTAATTATTTTTATTAAAAAGGTAACTGGTTTACTTTTTGTATAAATGTTCAAACCGACACAAATGAATGACAGACAAATGAACTTATAAAACCATTTTAAAATAAGCTCTCACTAGTTTTATTTCAAACCCCTCTGCCCGGACCTTTTAAATTCTGCATGTCTGAAAGTTAAATGTAATCTACCCTAATTATCATTTTATTAGTTCGTCACAATTATTGGGCCTACCCATAGACCTTAAAGCTTTGTCTATATCTTAAACGCTTTGTTAAGAAATTTACCATGGCTTCATGGGAAAGTTTGTTTAAACATTAAACATGTGTTTCAATTATTTAATATTTTTACATAATTCAAGCGTAAATTGTTTCTAGGAAGTGAGGATATAGCCATTTCACAGAATTCTCTGCGTTAATTTCACATTTTTGATGTGCAAATGTGTAACTACGTAAATATCATTTTACAGTTTAAAAATTTGTATCTGCCGAACATTAATAGAAAAGTCAAACGTTTGTATGCCGCAGAACAAGTTGCATTACAATATACGTCAAATACATTTTTTTCTATTTCGTTACACTGTTTTGCTTTTTTTTTCGTTGGCATATATGTTGGCTCATTACTTAAATACACATTATGCTTTTGAAATATATAAATATTTATCCATTTAGAAACGGACAAACTAATTTGAGGGGGTTCGAATTATTATTTTAGAGTTTGTTAGATGCTTGAGACCAAAAATGAATGAGAGTTGAATGAGAACTTAGTTGTCACAAAAATAGCAACATGTACATAAGTAGTATTTTGACTTCCATACAGAATACTATATGTATACAAATTGCCATTTTGACTTCACAACAAAATACTAAATCACTATCTATGTTCAAATTGCCAGAAAGCAACAGAAGTGCAGCGTTTCTATGAGCTGATTCCTCTATCTTGGGATACTTAAAATATTCCATAATATAGAATTTCCCTCAGGCTACCTGCCAATGATTTTATAATGTATCGGTGATGTTTCGGAAAGAGATATCAATTTTGAGTGCATAGTTGTAGAATAATGCACAGTTCGAGTAAAATGCACAGGAATATAATTACAAAGGCGAGTGTTTAATTAAAAAAATGAACGATCAACCATGCATTATTTAACCTAAATTCAGGAAAAATAATATCTTATTATTATATTTTAACATGCTTAAAGATAAGAGAATTTATAACAAAATGTTAAACTACATTAAGCGAAGAAGTAATTTACGTGGTGTCATTTGGTTGTTGACGTCATATATGACGTCATAAGACGGTAAGCATTCATTTTCGATCCTGCATATATTGTGTAATAATACACTTGAATTTATTGAAGCATGTTAGAATAAATTATCAAGCATTAATTAAATTATAAATCTAAAAGAAACTAAAATCAAAATAGATGAGCTGATGGGCTGATGATGAGTAGCTGTGTTTTACACACCTCAATAAGAAAGTTAGACTGCTTTTTTGTAAAAATGCACTTAATAATATACACTTAAAACAGACTGCACAGAATATGATAACTACTGTAAAATTTGCATTAATACGGTACTTTTACAGTTTCGAAAAATAATGCACAAGTTGATTTATGTATTGTGACGGGTAGTGCACCGTGAAACTATAACGGTAAGTTTGGTACCTACGGATTACCTGGGAAAATAGTCAAATGTAGGCCTACCGACTTCCGGAGAACATCTATTGTTACAGTGACGTTAAATGAATCGTCGCTAACATTAAATTAAGAGAAGTATCTGATTTTTGATCAACGTTAACACTGTGGACGACAAGTGATAGAATTACTTACTTCTACTCAGAGAAATAGTCAAGTGAAATCAAAACTGTTGCAAAATTGAGAACTTATTGACCCTTTCAATCAAACAATGAATATGAAAAATACATAAATCTGAATGTTAAAGAATATGAACGTTTTTTGTTTAGCCAATTTAGAAGCGGTATATTAACACTTAGAATAGAATCTGGTCGCTATATAGGTTTAACATTTAGCCCCTCAAACAACGAAAAAGACAAAAAACATTTCCTCTTACAGTGCGCCATATAGAACAAATATATTTTGGAGCAACTTTCTCTCACACGACTTTGTTAACCTAACAGACGATTGCAAATTAAAATATGTAATTTGTGAATTTTCTAGAATATGTGCTCAATTTGTTGTAAGTGCTTATCTCAACAGACGTTTTGTAATGTACTGTAACTTATGAAAGACGAACTAAATTTTATACGATATGATAAGACTGCAATGTAATCTAGATTTATTCATGTCTTGACTGTAAATTGCCTTTTGCACTTTTTACAATTACTGTGAGAGTTTTATCTACTATTGAAGATACTGTTATCGTAATTTACTCAAGCATATTAACAAAATACGTGTATCCCTTTGTAACATTAGACAGAATAACACTCATCCTTCATTCAATTTATTCCATTTAAATTAGTGTAGTATTACACATGAAAGGTGTTTAACCTTTTACCCCATGAGCATATTGTGAAAAATGGCCGTTTTCATTGAAAAGCCTCCTGTTACAAGTTCCAACTGCTATAAACTATGAACTGATGAAACTTGGCACATATGTTGACTGAACCATAACCCCTGTAACAAGATGCTCAATCTTAAATTTCCTGTTACCATGGCAACGGGGGAACGTCTCAAAATTGCGAAAATCACTATTTTTGCATTGGTTTTTTTTTCCATCAAAACTGATATCAAAGTGCTGCAACTTATCAATGCAATGCGATAGAGTAAACGGCTTTTCAGCGATTGTTACACGTCACCTTAAGATCGACCTGAGGCCATTTTTAGCCTGTCAAATGTTCAAATTTTTCTTGGCGATGAGGGGGACTACCGCCCCCTTCAAATCCCCCCAAACAGAAGGGGCCACATCCCCCTTCTGGCAACCCCCTGATGTATCATTTTGATGGGTGGCCGCGCCAAAAAAGTGTTCACTTTTTGCCGTCGGAACACGCTTATATCAGGGAAAATGTTAATAATTAGCGGAATCATTTTACATGAACAACTAGAATCTTTAAAATGAAGACCCTATTCTTTCTTTCCTTTTTTCCAATTCCCTTCTTGAAGATGTTGATATTAATGATTCGGGGACAGCTTTTATTTTATTCAAATGCGATAATATAACCAAAAGAAAATAATGCGAAACAGACTCCTTAAACTATAATCAAGATTCATGAATCATAAATCTTATTTACTAATCGCTCTTCTAAAGTTTGTCAGTGATATACAAATTGACTCATATGGTAAAAACAATCCATAATATGTATGTAATGACGACATTATTATATGATTTCTGGTGACTTAAAGGCCCATTGGATCAGGTGTTATGTTATTAAACTTGTAGATATGTATTGGAACAGATATGCACATGTCACGAAAATGAAATATTTTCTTACTTATTTACTTACTTATAAATATAAAATTTGTAGCGATACGAACAAATTTTAAATTAATGTATTATTACAAAGTAATATAGAGGATATTAAATGAGTGTATGTTCAATACTGAATTTTTTAACGAGTTAAAAGAGTTCAAAGAGTTCAAAAGATTTAGTTATGAAGCTACATGATTAGAATATTCTATTTAATACACACAGAAAAGAATATTTCTTTCATTTATACTCTTGAGGTATAAAGCTGACATTTAGCGCGTATTATCTATGTCTGTATAAAGTAAAGTAAAAATTTAGTAAACTAATTTTAACGCATTTCATTTATCACGCAGAAATGAAATCAATTATTGGTATTGATCATACATTATAAAATATTTAAAGTTACTTAAGTTATTTCTCTACATTTGTTACAATCATTATTTTTGTATTAAAACTTCCGATTTCTTTTTGTGGATTCACCGAATTTCTGAAATATGAATAATGTATTGTAGCTAAATTACAAAAGTTAGATAAAGATAGACAAATTCTTTGGCATTATACGAGATGTATTTGAATGCTTTTCCTTCTCACATTTCATAGACCAAAATATTTTAGTTTTATATCATGATATGTTCATGTCTGTAGAATCCATACAATATATAATGATGTAGATATAAATGTATCATGTTACATAGCCACCCTGTATCAGCCTCTTAAATACCAAGTAGTGTACAATAGTTGCTCGTAGTGACTAAACGTATAAAACATACACTGTGTTGTATAACGCAAACGACCTCACGTCAAAATTCATGAACTGCCATGAAAAACCATGGTCAATAAGTTGCAAAAGCGCCCAGGGTATGTGATTAATATTTTTTAACATGAACAAAAGAATATGAATTTCCAAACTATACTTTCAAAAAAAGTACATGTTCTTCATTACTTCATTTTAATTTTGGTACATATTATTTTTGCTGTAAATTATGCTTATTACATTTAAGTTTATTTTATGACTTATCTATCATTGCAACAACATTCAGACACTCATACATCTCATTGTCTCCTCCCAAAGTTCATTACAACATGGGATATTAAATATCCAGTTATAATATACGATAAAAAACTTTTGCAGCAAATTATCAGTTGGTGAGCACTGTTTCAAAGTAAGCATTAAGTTAAAAAAATAATGATATACTTGGGTATCCGTCATGTAATAGCATTATATTCGTCAGATAATATTGTGTGCCAAAAAAATAAACATACAAAAACAACAAATGTATACATGCCACATTTATATGAAAACGCGACAATATCGTAGTTGTTTATGTTTACAGATTAACATAGCAAAAGATTTTTTTAACACTGGTAATCAAAATATTCGTCGCATACGATCATCATTGTATGAATACTTGTAACGAATAACAGATATATAATAACATATACAAAAGTTGAATGATTTATTCATTCAGTTATTGACAAGTATTCCACTGAATGTGTTCATCCTATATGAGTCTTGTTCTAGCTGGCGGTTAGAAGCTGATGATGTTGATTTGACCCAAACTTTTTCTCCTGATCTAACTCTTACTATTGCTCCAACAGTGCTACAGGTGTAATGATCCTTATCATAGTTTGAATCTGATGCAATAACTTTGCCTTCCAACACCAGACCAATAAAGGCATATCTATTATAATAAGCACATGTATGAACAACAAAATGGTACAGTCCTCCAACAGGTGCCGTGAACAATCCCGTTGAGGTGTCGTAACCTTTTCCCTCGTTAATCACACTTTTCGTAAATATAACAATCTCATCTGTAGTATCAAGAACCAAATCTGCCACGTGATGTGCATGGAAAGCAATTGGAGGTCGTTCAAGTTTACCTGAGTATAGAAAATAGTGAAGTAAGTACATGTTTTTTACAATTGTTTCGTTATGATTTAATATTTGTTTGTAGATCTGGTTATTAAGAATTTTAACTCGTATCAACACTCGATTGTTAAATATAAAGAATAGCCAGACTTCCTGATTTTAATTTGGAATTCAATTTGTAATACAAGCTTTTGGAAATGTCTTACTGATATCGGTGTAAAACATTGTATTTTTAGAGCTATAATAGAATTATGTTTGTAACCTTAAGATGATGACATGTATTCAAAATTAGAATATATACACGTAATTAAATAAATTTTAAGAAATGGAAGGATCAGTTTATAGTTACAGCATCGGGTTAGTTGAACAAGTTCTTAATACTTTAAACTGATTATTGATGTATTATAATTCGTGAATGCACTTAAAAACAAACAATTGAATATCATATAATCAAATAAGATATTATGAAACACAGTTTTGGAAAATAATCATCTTGTGGATGTAAAATGAGAAACAAAACATTGAAGTTGAGTAAGTTCTCCTCTTTTAGCTTCCATGTCACTCGTGAGGTTTGTTCTTGTCTCCTCAAACAATTTCTTGAAGTATTCTGTAAATAAATATCAAAGTATACTAACTTATCGTAATCAAAGTTCAGTAAGCATTATATATGTTCTTATGTGTGCATATGAACTGTATGCAAAAATTATTTCTGATAACATAAAACTTGGTTCTAAACCTTTTCCCCTTTCAAAATTCCATTTTATTTAGTTCCGCCCATTGTTTTCTCGTTTAGGTCACACGCTTTTAATTACTTGGGAACCATAGGCCGCTTTTCATGGAATGGCACGGAAGTGTCACATTGAAGGTTCCATGATAACCGCCGTATAAACACATCTGCGGATGTTTCTAAATTCAAATTTTTACTATTTCATGTTTAAATGTTGAATTCTGCTTAAGCCGGTGCTAGGGGGCGTGGACGGTAACTTGCACTTTCCAGTACCGTCCATGAACAGGCTAAATCAAACCGAGCCTGCAAAATTTTTAATTTTGACGTGTTGGGCTTTCTTTAGGAATTCTGTATTTATCTATTTTATGATCACATCAGTGTTATATGTGCCGTGTGGCGGCTGTAAAAAGTCTCCCCGTACATTCAATCAATGATGTTATGTTTTCGATCCTTGAAGATCGTTCAGCACGACATTATTGTTGTGCTTCTGGTATTTTAAGTTTCAACTTTTCGGCATTTTCTAGTTGGGTGGTTCCAATATTCCTACTTGAATAATGTTGAATCACCCTTAGGATATGTTGCCTGCTTTTTAAATTTGTCTTTTGATGTCTTATCTGTGATATGCAGGCTTCATAACCTCTGATCCCCTTTTAAAATTCCATTTTATTTAGTTCCGCCCATTGTTTTCTCGTTTAGGGCACACGCTTTTAATTACTTGGGGACCATAGGCCGCTTTTCATGGAATGGCACGGAAGTGTCACATTGAAGGTTCCATGATAACCGCCGTATAAACACATCTGCGGATGTTTCTAAATTAAAAATTTTACTATTTCATGTTTAAATGTTGAATTCTGCTTAAGCCGGTGCTAGGGGGCGTGGACGGTAAGTTGCACTTTCCAGTACCGTCCATGAACAGGCTCAATCAAACCGAGCCTGCAACATTTTCAATTTTGACGTGTTGGGCTTTCTTTAGGGATTCTGTATTAATCTATTTTATGATCACATCCGTGTTATTTGAGCCGTGTGGCGGCTGTAAAAAGTCTCCCCGTACATTTAATTAATGATGTTATATTTTTGATCCTTGATGAACGTTCAGCACGACATTATTGTTGTGCTTGTGGTATTTTTAGTTTCAACTTTTCGGCATTTTCTAGTTGGGTGGTTCCAATATTCCTACTTGAATAATGTTGAATCTCCCTTAGGATATGTTGCCTGCTTTTTAAATTTGTCTTTTGATGTCTTATCTGTGATATGCAGGCTTCATAACCTCTGATCTCCTTTCAAAATTCCATTTTATTTAGTTCCGCCCATTGTTTTCTCGTTTAGGGCACACGCTTTTAATTACTTGGGGACCATAGGCCGCTTTTCATGGAATGGCACGGAAGTGTCACATTGAAGGTTCCATGATAACCGCCGTATAAACACATCTGCGGATGTTTCTAAATTCAAAATTTTACTATTTCATGTTTAAATGTTAAATTCTGCTTAAGCCGGTGCTAGGGGGCGTGGACGGTAACTTGCACTTTCCAGTACCGTCCATGAACAGGCTCAATCAAACCGAGCCTGCAACATTTTCAATTTTGACGTGTTGGGCTTTCTTTAGGGATTCTGTATTTATCTATTTTACAAGACCAGTAGTATTGCTTCTGAAATAAACTTTAGTAAAATAAAAAACCTGCAATCTTATATATATTTTGATTTTCCTTGCTCTCCTTCTATAATTAAAAGGTGTTAGCCATTTTCTGACGTTAAATATAATATGATTGGAATAATATATTTTTCCATATAAAAAAACTAATAATAAATCTGCCATGTGATGTGGAAAGCGATGGGAGGTCAAGTTTATATATTAGAGTTATTATAAAAACATGTCTGTAAAATAAAGATGATGAAATGTATTCAAAAAAATAAATTATACCTGTAATTGAGTCTGTTGAACGATGATAGGAAGGACTAGTCTATAGTTACAGCAACAGGTAAGTCGAATATCAAATTTATTCAAACTGATAATTGATAAAATAATAATAATAATAATAATCTTTTATTATAGTGACATGTGTTTTCGTACATGAAAATTACATATATACAATGTAAATAAAGAACACCCGGCCTTATAGGCCTATAAGTCACCTTAACAACAGTGTAAAATGCACGTGAAATATTATACGTGACTGTACTACAAAAGATTCAACTAAATAATAAAACCAATTGAATCATTAAATCAAGTAAAGTTTTGGAAAATAATCATCACATGGAAGAGAAATGCGAAAAAGTGAGAAAATACCCTGAAGTTGAATAAGTTCCTCTTGTCTTTTAGCTTCCATGTCACTCATGAGGTTTGTTCTTGTCTCCTCAAATAATTTCTTGAAGGATTCTGTAAAAATAATATTAACGTACAATTACTGACGGTAATCAAAGTACAATAAGTATTACATGTATATGTGTTATTATGTGTACATATGAAATGTATGCAGAAAGTGCTGCTGATAATATGAAACTTGATTCGAAATATATGTTTACATAGACACTAGTGTTACTTTTGATATAAAACTTTAAGGAAGCAAAACAACCTGCATTCTAATATATATTCTAATTTTCCTCGCTCACCCTGTATAATCAAATTTCAATTGATTTTGTTCGAGTTTCTATTGGCTGAAGTGTTCTATTTGCCATTTCCTGGCGTCATTTGATAAAAGATTTATGTCATAAAAAGTCAGGAAATATAACCACTAATAAGAAAAACCAATGTGATGAGTTAACGTTGTTCTTCACGGAAACATGATTTGTTAGGTATAATAATTTTAACATAAATATCTACTGCGATTCTTGTTTTGTATAGATCAGGAGTATACAAAAAAGGAGACATATCTCAAATTTTGACGCACAAACTAGATAGAGCACGAGATCAACACAGGACAGAATAGGAAAGAAGAGTAACAATTAACCAATGTCCTTTTATTAATTTTAGACATGTTCATGCTCGTGCTAGTACAATGTTGAGCATGAGGCTGTTAATTATCAATCAATTTTATAAAAATTTAAAAGTGAAATATTACTTTTTTACTGTAGGTATTTTTATGTAAGGTTTTCTCATTCACTTTCCCTTAATTCATTAATTGATTTATGTTTATAATAATGTAATTTTACAATGCGTTTTGTAACGATGAAAATATATTATAAGTTTGCAGCAATAAAAGCTATGCCATATTCTATCGTTCATAAATATAGACATTTTAGGTAAATATGTCAGCTTTGTAACCAGTGTATGAAATTTCTTCTTTTTTTAAAAAACTCACTGATTCTTTAAATTTTGAATATTCCACGCATTTATAATATTACAGATTTTCCATTTCAGTTTTAATCAAGCAAAACAAACTATTAAGTTAAATTGATTTATACTTAAACAGCAACCAGTTGTAAATTATATGCTTAAGATATAAGTCATTTTTGCATTCCATCAGTAATATTTCAGTTTACAAATATCATTTTCTAACAATGTACATCTGGTGTTCATAGTTTACCTTCCCTCCTTTCTATCTCGTCACCTTTCTCTAACATTTCGTCCGTTATGTTCCCCTTCATGTCCGCAAACATGTCCGTAAAATATGAAACTGCTCGTTTAATGTCGCCTAATGTACTGATAACCTTATCCTCAGTTTTCTTAATTTCATTTACCATTGTTTCTACCTTAATTTCAGTCCTTATCATTTTCTCTAAAAGCTGTTCTTCATATGCAAATTTAGAACATACAGGCTCTCTAGCCTCAGAAAAATTATAACTATATATTCCAACGACAATAGCAAATGAAAATAACAATGGGAAACTCATTTTGATGAAAAAGAAAATCCGAGAAAGTCTGTGAATCATACTCGCTGGGAGAAACAATTGCATTTATGCAAGGGATTTTTTTGTTATTTCAGTATGAGGCCCGTAATAAATCTTCAGTATAGTTTTTTAGCATAAATGCACTGAAATACGGTATCGAAGGAAATCCCTTAGAAACAGTTTGAGGGAAACAGTTTGATTTTTCTTTACTTAAACCGCACTTCCCAAATGAGAATTAAGTGACAGCACTATTAGAAACAAATCAGCATGTGTCTATGAAATGAAATACATACAGTGCATGCCAAAATCTTATAGAATAATCTGTTGTAATAAAGAAAGTGATGTGATACCGATTGTTTCATTATACATGAATTCGAAATAATTATTCTTTGGTATTGTCATAAAACTCATGTAAAGGTGATATTACTTTGGAACAAAGATGAATAATGATATGATAATATTTAATATAATAACGTCCTTGTAAGAAACGGTTAATTATTCACTCAAAAACCTCGATTGAAGTCGTTGCTATCAATAGATAGAAATATTTAATAACAAATATCAAATAATATAGACTGAGATAGATAGATAAAACTTAAAGAAAATTAATAATAACTTAACGTTTCGTTAACCGTTTCAATATTGCTATATCCAAATTTTTTTGCTTTCGCCCTTTTTAATTACATTCTTTATATTTAGAAAATTTGCATATTGTGCTGTAGATATTTAAGTTACAAATGGTCGTATAATAAGTGAATTATTTCCACATTGAAGCCTGACTGATTTGTTTGATTCCAATGTTTTAAGATAATCATAAATATAGTAGCGAACAAGAATATCATGTGAATTTCAACAATCATAGTTGTAGCTTGAAAACATTTACAATCCCTGTAACCTAACATAATTTTATAAAGACTTAGGAAACATAAATATTATTAAAAAGATAACATTTGCTTTTCTTATTATTAACTGTTTTATATTAAGAATCTGGGCGTATATTTTATAAAACTATCTTTACATCGAACAAGTAGGTGATATATTTGCTCGCATTTCATGAAAATCGTGATGGAAAAATAAAACAACAAGGCGTGTCTTTACAACACCCTGAAAAATACCTAACTGTTGGCAACATGATAAGTGCTGCAATTTGATTCATTTATTTAACTTAAATTATTCAAGAGATGTTATTTTTGTATGTTTTGTATTTGATATTCTATACGAACATATCCTAATCCCGAAAATAAATACGCAATTTTCAACTCTTCACGAAACGGTGCTTTGTAGTTCACCATGTGATTATATACGTAATTATTATTTCTCTTTTTAAAATTAAATTTTATAAGTAATGGAAAGAGCACCGAAACACAAGGCTATCTGATTTGTACGAGGGGGCGTAGCCCAGAGTATTTATCATATTGCCGAGAGTTTTGATGTTCTTTCTCTTTTGTATCATAGTCAAATATAAAAACACGTTCCCTGTTGTCACAATATAAAACCCCAGAAAAAAGTAACCAATGAACGAGCATCTGAATATAATATTGCTGTCGCTTTCCTTTTCTCTGCCGTCACAATAAGTAAACCCCAGCAAAAATGAGCCAATCAATGGGCATGCTCTGGCGTGCGGGTAACTAATACCTGCACTTCAGTTAACGCACTGTGCAAAAATATGTAAACTATGATACAATGATATGATATATCTTATTAGTGGATTTTTTTTCGTTTGCATTTATTAAGTTATCATATTGAAAGCCTTGCCGTAATATATGTATTATATGAACCAAGAAAAGTTCTAGTTATACACCAGTTTCAACTCCTCTCTTGCTTTTAAGTTACCGTGTGATTATATACGTAATTAATATTTCCCTTTTATTTTTTTTGCAATATTTTGAATGAAATTTAAGAAGCACGTTATTAAAAAATGAGAGTATTTGAATCAAAACCAGCTTGGCAAATATAATAAGCGCACAATGATATTTTATGATCACAAACTATCCAACAAAACAACGCGTCAAAATACAAAAAATACAATTACTTTGTGCTACTCTAGAATTCTAAACAATACAATCATCCAAAGCAAAAAAAAACCTTGGTAAGCATGAAGTAACATACATGACAAATATCTCTTGTCTATTTTAAAGCACAATGAAATTAATTTTGATATAAAGTAGAACGGAGAATTATGTCGTCAATATTGGAATGTTTTAGCATATTTTAATGAACGATTTTAAAGCTAACTCCCCGGCTGACAACTTCACATACAATTTTTTCCCGTCGCATAATTAATAAATCAACACTTATTTTTATACACATGATAAACAAAGATTATTTCAGAGGAGGCGTTTAATTTATCATGTGTATTTTTATAAAGAACCATCATTGATCAGATCTTTTATCAAGTGGATCATTTTTCATTGGTTCCTAGTAGAAAATTTCTATTGGTTGTTAAGCCTGTTAATCGATATCGGACGGCGTTTTATCATTTTCACCTTGAACGAAATGCTACGAAATGTAAGTTTACTGAAATTTCTGAATTAATCATTTTTCAATACATGAATGACAGCAATTTGCTGATTGGCATGGCTGCTTATTTATGTTTAACATAAAAATATTAAAACCTGCTATTTAATCCTAAGAAATCTATACGTCAAGTACAATTAAATGATAATTTTCCATGGTAACCTTTCCGCGATATTTTCTTATTTTTTAGGATATTTTTATGTATTCTCCTTAATATATTATACACATCCTTTTAAATATCTGTATAACTCTTCGATTTTCATAATTGTCTAACTTTTGTTTTTTTTTATCTTTAGAAGCTTAATGTGTTTTAGGTAAAAACAAACCTTGTCGACTTTATATATAAACATCTGAAAGAACATGAATGTAGATAATTTATAAACAGTTCAATTATTAGTAGCCTTTACGTCGTATAGTTTACCTAGCTATTAGCTGCTGGTATTTGTATTTGAAAAACAGAAAGCCTTTTCAAAGTGTATGACAAATATATTGAGCTTAAACTTCAGCCTAGAATAGCACACGTTTGATATTTTTCTGCTAGGTTAGACTGTAATAATAATAAATGTGAGTGAAATGCAGTGAACAGTTTTTATGTTTTAATATATTGTTTACCATTTTTAAATAAAACACACCAAATAAATTAAATTTTATAAGATAAAAAAAAACATTGCAAAAGTGAACCTGACTAAAGAAATCCAAATAAAATTATTGAAAATCTGTTAATCATTACAGCCATGTCCTCGTAGGCGTAAGGATATTGGTCTATATTGTTTTAATTTTTCCTTTCTCATGTTATCTTCTCAGTAATTTCCTCATTTGACAGATTAATCAATTTATTGCTGTACGGCCGTCTTTTTATTTCATTGTCTTAAGAAAAAGAGTGTTTAGGTTAACTTGTAAAGCTGTTTTGAAGAAAAATATTTAGTTAACTTGCCAGATATTAAAGCTTCAGATGTATTTCTTATGGAACTAATAATATAACGTAATCTTCATCTTCCTAATACATACTTTTCGCGATCCTATACATTTAAAATTGATGGACTAAGACACTATTTAAATGTGGACAATGTTGAATATTGTTTTTTTTTCCAACTTGGTCATGTTACAACATTCAACACGTACACAAACTTTGCTTTATGGTTAACATATATATATATAACCAATTTCAATTTTATTTTGTCATAATTTTGTTTTCCGGGGAGCTAAACATAAACAAAATTACAAGAAAATTATGATATTTTATTTTTAAAGAACTTTTTTATTTACTATTAAAACGAAAAACCAAAATACATTGTACACTTATTGATTATACATAACACCACATAAAAAGTATGTTTTGGTCGCAATAATGAGACCAGTTAGCTAATATTTTCTTGTATACACATTTATTTAAAAATAAAAATTATGACACGCCTGTAAAAAATCAAAATCTATATAAAATGTTTGTAAAGTAGTTTCGGGGAAAGTAATTAATATAAAAGCAGAATTATAATTGAAAGTTCTGTTATGAATTATATAATTGTTATGCGATTATATTATTTAAATATACTCTGCAATATAAAGTGATATACACGTTGTAAGAAAGGTAATTTAAAATGCTTCATATTATACCATAGAAGCTCTACACCATCATGTTGTCTTAGAATGTTTACTATAGTTGTCAAACCTCTAGAACCCAGATACAAATAGTAATGACTTTCATTGGATGGTTCTGGCAAATACGACGGCAGATTTGCTCATTGGTTTTACTTGCGGTAATTGCAAAAAGAAATAGAAAAAAATAACCAACCTAAAAGTTCACTTTTAAGTGTGTTTGTTAACAAGATAATTATAAAAATTATATAAAAGATGGATTTTAAACAAACACGTCAAAAATATATTGTAACATTATCATAATCATTTGGTCTATCAGAAATTTTTAAGTAAATTTAAATAGTTACTTAAGAATCTATTATTTCTCAGAGTTTTTCAATATCACAATTGAATTTAAACAAGAGAATAAAGCTGGCTTTTCATAAAAGTAAAATAAACTGATCCAAACTGTAATTTATCACTTCATGTTTGCACTCTTTATGTCACTGAAATATTGAACGTTTTTGAAACAATTTGAATACAGCCAATTTTGTCTTTGTTTATGCTTTCAGAGTAGTCCTTTTCCTCTTCCATTGTAATTACAGCTGTATTGGTTCCGTTACTTGACTGTGAAGTCAGTGAAAGTATAGGCTGTTCCTCCATTGAAATGTTTCTTTCAGATTTACCATCCTCTGTACTAGAATAAAGTTGATTCTATAATTAACCTTCAAAGCACATATCTATCAAGAGTGCCATCAACTTAA